TTCCAAAATTTAAGAATTGAAACTCACTGACATTTCAGCTAAGACTGAGGCAGGTAGTAATTATACTTGGGAAAACTACAAAATTACATCCCTTAACAATGTGGAAACACTGCAACACTGACAGAAGATTGCGTTTACTCAGAGAACTTGGGAACTATAGGGAAAAAAGTCATGTGTGTAATTGAAGTTTACACAGAAGAGAGGAAGGCTTGGCCTACCTATGAAGCAGTAGGGACCAAGAGTTAATCAGTTAATAAATTTGCTCAAGATGTAAATGCAAACTCTTTGCAAAGATATAAAATAATAAATTAATAGAGGGTAGAAGAAGGTACAGCAAAAATGTGTGTCCCTTATGGCAGAGACTGTGTCTTCCTTCCCACCACCTATCTTGGCATATAGTAGGTACTTAGTAAATATTTGAGATTGAATGAATGAATAAAGGTTGAGGATGAGAATATTTTAATTCTTTGTGTATAATCACACACAAAAACCCCACAATATTTTTGCTGTGTGTTTCAAGCAAGAGCGAGTTACTTTACCTTTAATGAGCCTAAAATATAGTATTTCATTCAAATTTTTGTAGTGCCAGTGGAGCGAGCATGAAAATTTCATGCAAGTTTCATTGTAAGTTGAACCTTGTGAAATTACACATATTCACTGCTTATGGCCCACAGAAATAGTAAATTCAAAATGGCTTAAACTTTTTTTTTTCTTTGGTCTAGGAGATATCACCTACATTTAAAAAGCTGATTAGTGCTCTTTGTAAACACTGAGTCACAAAGGGTTAATCCTGGCACTATAGAAGGGATGAAGCCAACATATGTTATCAAGACCTCCTCTTAAAACCTGGGACTATCAATTATCTACAGGAGTAATTTCAGAGCATAGGTCTTCTTTTAAAAAAGTAAGTGAAAAATAATGTTGTTCCAGAGATATTAGAAGGAAACACTTAGAAAAGAAGCTTAAAAATAGAAGGTTTTAAAATTAGATAGTGGTGATGCTTGCATAACTCAGTGAATATACTAAAAACTGTTGAATTATACACTTAAAAATTGAATTTATGGTATATTTATTACATCTCAAAAAAGGTTCTTTAAAATTAGAAGAGACTGGGCTACAGAGAATGGAAATGCAAATGCACTATGTGGACCACTCTGTAGCTAAGGAGGAGGAAGAGGAGAACATTACTGCCATACACCAGACATCTGCCTGGTTGCTAGCCAACCTTCACAGTAGCCTCTCTGCAAAGATTGCATGTCGCAGCTCACACCCTTGCCAAGTCATGAAAATAAATATACATGCAGTATTAATAGCCTCTGGTAATTTCAGCATGATGCTTGAATTCTGGAAAGGGATCCCCTGAACAGTCCTAAATTAAAGCATGGTGAGAACTGTCATCTTTGCCCAATGCCCTTTGAGTCTTTGTGGGCAGGATCTTTCCCAAATCTGCTTGTCTGGTCAAGCTCACATGGCTGGTTCTAGGACACAGAATAAATGTAGAGTGATTCTCTACCCTGGAGGAAGAAAAGGTCAGGAATCCCAGAGGAAAGGCCAGAAAACTCAGAAAAATGTACATATACACAGACTCAGTTTTATATACAACATCAAGGGCCCCAAGGGCCTTGGAATCCCTTCTACCAGTTCCATATTAAGAATCCTTGGTCTATATTCTGTATAGGATGTCCCAAATTATGTTAGGGTATTTGAGTGAAATTTAAGATTGAAAACTATATACTAGGATCTCAGAGAAGCTCTAAAGAGGGCATCCTTTTTCTTTACTATCACAAGTTTGTGGTGGGGTGGGGGTGGGCTTTAATTTCTTGACTAGAACCAACAACAGCTTCTAATGGGAAGTAAATGGCACTGGACAATAAGGGGCAGACTCCGATAGACTGAAATCATAATTACCTTATATTTCTTTGTTTTTGGCCTCTCTTTTTTTTTGTTCACATTTGTCATCACATACAGTACTATACTATTCTCAGTGTATTTTTGACATTGCATTTTACTCCAATACCTTGACAGGCATATATAGTTTAAAAATTAGTTAGTAGCCCTATTTGTAATAATATCACTTCAAGCAATTATCACTAACAATTACAATCTGCAGCAAAAGACTCTGAAGAGACCGAGAACTCAGTCATTTCCTACAACTTACTGGGCCCAGACCATGCTGAGGAAGAATCTCAAGACAGGGTTTTAAGAGTATTTTTTTAAATCTCTTTTTTTAAAAGAGATGGAATCAAAAGTGGCAAGAATTTATTAAGCAC